TGTGTATGCGTGTGGAGAACGATTTTGTTCATCCTGTTTGAAGCTTAATAACTCCTGAGTTAATCGTTTAACATTTCTGAAATTTTGCAGAGCTGTTTCATTGTTAGGGGAGTGATGCTGTTAAATTTTGATGGGTTGAGGTGGAGGGGATGGAGAGATAATGGGAATCGTGTGTATCTCCAATAAGCTCGGACTTAATGACGGATTTTACTCGTTATTTACAAATTTTTATAAAATTCATCTGTACCCTCAAAATTAACCTTTTGGCTAATTTATAACCGTTAAAAATATAAAAAAGAGTTTTCATACAATATGATAATAGATAGACCCACCAACATTTTAAATATTTCAAAGAAATTTGAGCAACACTTTGCTGATTTATTTTTTGAATGTAATTTATTATCAATCATTTTACGCAGAAAAGTAGTCATTGCCATTATAAGACAATTAATTTATATAATTTATAGAGAAACATGTTTTATAAATAAAATTCACAATTACTTGTCTGATAATGGCACATGAGATTTTGTCAATCATTAAAAATTACTATTTAAAATTTTAACAAATTATTGTTAAGTAACTTAAAATTATTGTTAAATATCTTCAAATTATTGAGAAAATATTTTGTTCAAAGTAGTCAGATTCAGTACTCTTTAATTTCTCTCCGAAAACAACAGCAAAAAACATTTCCTAGTTGCAATTATATAAAAAGCTCAAGACAAATTTTTAAAATAAATTATAGTAATACTTTCTTACCCGTCGCCCATTGCTGCGATCTCAGAAGAAACGAAATTCAAGCAAACTCGTTACGATAAAATTCAATTTACATTTCTCATTTTTATTGAAACTTATTATTATTATTATTCATTTTCATGGGGAAAACATTTCAAAGTGTCGTTTCAATTCTGTTTATTTATTGGAATGTTTGTGGATACACGATATTTTTTGTTTTTCCTTCCGGTGCGTACACGAATAAATCAGAAGGTTTTCCGACGCGTGAGCCGGCCACATACAGTTGTCCATGCGAGAAGCACGGATTCTTGAAATTTAGCCCACACAGTTGCAGCGATTGTCAGAAGTGCGATATTCCCCATTTATATATATTTTTTTTAATCCTTTATAATTTTAACTATTTAATTGCTCCTTCCTCTCTTCTTTGGCATGTTGTGAAATTTCTGATATTTGGAGAATAAACTGTTTTATTGTAATTTATCTTTTTAAATTAATTTGAGTTGATATTAAAATTTGGAAAAGGGGAGTTACCTAGATCGGTAAAATAGGCGAATTTCCTCCTACAACTTCGGATGTCGTTCGGGGCACAGTTAAGGTTTTAACAAAGTTCGAGCGAATACATAATTAGCAAAAATAGTTGTAATAAAGTGATTAAACAAAAATGATTACAAATATCGTAAATAACAGTTCACAAATGCATATATAGAGATATATTTTGAAGGGGGAAATGGTCTTCAAAATTTGAAATCGATCGCGCACACAGTAAAATGCTAGTATAAACACGCGCCATCTATTGTAGGATAAATGTACTATGCCAAAAACCTTCGCGAGAGTATATTAAACAACTTCCCAAAGTTTCATGGCAATCGGATAAACGATGTGGTAATGCATGAAGGAGAGACGAACAGACAGACAGACAGACATTCATTTTTGTATATATAGATATGTTTTTTTCTTTTTTGTAAAAGAAATGAAAATAAGTAGTGTTTGTGATTATTTTAGTAGACACACCACAGTAGGCTGTCCAAGTTGCATAAAATTGTTAGTTACAATAGTGATTCATCTGTTGCTGCTTTGTTTCCTAGATAAAATCAGCAGACTTGATGGAGCACAAAATTTTTAATTATTCAGTACAACTGTCAAGTTTCTTTTGATATGGATTTCAGTTTCAGAAATAATTGCCTCACGTGGTGCTAAAAATCCTTTCATTTTTTCATTTTGATAAAGTAATCTTCTCGTTGTTGTTGTTGCCACGATTAATTATTAATTATCCTTATTTAAATCGTAGATCAATAAAAAATTTTTTATGTTTTACATTTGTGATCCAAACATGGGAACTAGAGTCAATCTTGTGTGTATTATACGGTATATTTCGTTGCCGTATAATACTAATTTTGCACTAATAACCGTATAACCGTATAATATTAGTTTTACATTAATTCTATCGGTTTTGAATGAACGACGCTGTTTATTGCAGGTTAATTTTAAGACAGCATGATTAAATTGTGTAAACTAATATTACAGTTATTGTATTTTAACTTCAATATATTGTGATCAATTTAAAAACGAGAATATTTTAAATGAACAAAGTATCTTTCACATTTAATCTTTGTACGTTTATATTTTTTCTAAACCTTTTTAATTATTCATTTTAGAATTATTAGTGAAACTTTTTCTATCCAACTACTTCAATTTTTATGTACTAAAAAGATTAAAAATATAGAGTATTTGGGATATTTAATTTCGATTTAAGATACTTTTAATATATTGCAAAAGATTAATTATTTTATTTAGCTTTTGAGCAATACATTCCGACATAACTACATTTAATTTCATTTAACTATTTAAAACGTATGCATAGTATAATTATAATGATTTAAAAAATATACTTTACAACAGGGGTGTCCAACCTTTTTGTTTCTCTGGGCCGCATTGGAAGAAGTCATGGAGTTTTGGGCCACAAGTATATATAATATATACTTGTGGTTCAATATACAAGTATATTTAAGGATTAACATGTCTAGATTATAATAATAAGTATTAAAACTTTATCACAAAATAGGATATTTTAAAAAATTACTTCTACAGTCACTTTCAATTTTTACTTAGAAATAGATAAATTCATTTATTTGATAAAATCTAAATATTTGCTTTATTTGAGTCTCTGATTAATAAAAAGCGACGAAACACCATTTTAAAGTGCATTTTTATTCGACTAATATATTTATAAATGATATGTAGCCCCAAAAGTAGCCAAAGCGCCAAATGATATTTTTTTACGTTAAACTAAAAAAGTAGCCACATTGGNAGCTTTTTAAAAAATTAATAAAATAACTAGTGTAATAAAATCTTCCATATTTCATATAATAAAGCTGTTTATTATAAACATGGTAGAGTTATTTGCTATTAAGCATAAAAAGAAAGAAGAAACTTACCTCTATGAAAATCCTATAAGAAATCACAAATATACAAAAAAAAGTTCATTTAAAAATTAAGTTTTAGTTTAAAACATTTTCAATTTTATTAATACTGATAAGTGATGAAACATTCTAAAATAAATTTTAGTTTAACTAAAGCAATGCAGTACAATCTTGGTAATCCATACATTTGTTAGTTCTACACATTCAGTAATTTGACATTAGTCAACTCTCAATTATTACTGTAATCTACAAAATGGAAATTATATTTATTAAATTTTTGATAATTCTAAACGCTGATATATCAATTTATTTGTCTAATTATATTTACCTCATATACTGTTTTTCCACACATTCTATCTATGACGTCATTAAAACTATCTTCATTAAAACATTGGGCAATAGCTTTATACTGACAAATTATATTTGAATATTAATATTTGTAAACTATGACTTAACATTTTATTTAGTTACACTAAAAATATGCTTACTGTATTTCTTTTGTCGGAGGGCGAATTATCCTCTATACAATTCCAAATAATTCTTCTAATCCGTTTGGAACGACCTGAAAAATAGAAGTTTAGCGTACTTTTCTATATGCAAGCTGTGAGAATGTTTTATTCTCTCCAAAACGAGCATAATTTAGAGTAGAGTATTCTCCTATAATTTACAATTTAAGGGTTTTCTGCTGATAAAAATATTAACTGCAATATAAACTTATCTAACTTAAAACAACATTTTTGTGCATATACTAATTTATAAAATATCCAAACAATAAACTTATTCTTAAAACAATTATCGCATATAAAAAATATTGGCTACGTGTTCCATTATGGCTGATTGTGTGGGATAGAATAGAACATTGTACAAATAATGGTAGGGACTATATGGAACAACTAAAAGCATCAAAAATTAAGTAAAAATTTGTTATTAAAATTATAATTATTCAGTGAAGTTATGAAAATTCCCTTTAATCATCCGATTTTTGTATAAGGACTTCAGCATCAAATTTATAAGTAAGAATATTAGACTCGTTTCCCACTGTCGAGACATTTAGTTTTGTTTAATGCTGTTTAGTGGCGCCTGATTCTATACAAGGTATGCGTCTAAATACATGTTTAATTGTGTCAATTGTTTTTAATGGTGTATCGTCGTTTTTTAATGAAAATTTCAGTATTTTATCTTCAGGACTGACAGCAGACGACATGTTATAAGTCGCCTTCCCTCAATCTCTGACTGGAATAAAATATATTTAAAAAGACTTTTTTGCGTAGCCTTTATTACTTAAAATTTTAATAATCCGGGATTTGCGAGAATTTCATATGTTCTGTGAAGCTTTTTATAACTCTTTCAGTTTGCAGAAAACTTACGTTTTAATGAAAATGCCTACTTCGTTATAATCACAAAGAGGATCTCTAAGAAACTTCAGTAAAGGAAGGTTCGAAGGTAGAAAAATTATATGCCATAACGAAGCCATTGCGATAATTGAAAAGCGTTATAAAAATGGCCAAATTAAAAACGTTGCCATCGCAATAGAAACCATAGNTTTGGAAGAATTAATTACACATATTCAATTTTAAAAAATTCATGGCTCAACATTGGGTAAAATAATAAGCGACGAATAATCATAGATGACTACGTCAATGCTTTTTCTATTAAAGTTTTTCACTGACACATTGAACTACCATAGCTAAATCTACATACTGAAACTATAAAAAATGCAATGAAGTAAATAAAATTAAAATAAAATTTTGTAATTGTTTTTATTTTCAACTTACGGGTTTACCCAAGTCAGCTACGTTCAAATTATTCAAACAGGACTTATACGGTGCTGCCATTGCTGTAATCTACAAAATGGAAATTATATTTATTAAATTTTTGATAATTCTAAACGCTGATATATCAATTTATTTGTCTAATTATATTTACCTCATATACTGTTTTTCCACACATTCTATCTATGACGTCAGTAAAACTATCTTCATTAAAACATTGGGCAATAGCTTTATACTGACAAATTATATTTGAATATTAATATTTGTAAACTATGACTTAACATTTTATTTAGTTACACTAAAAATATGCTTACTGTATTTCTTTCGTCGGATGGCAAACGCTGATATATCAATTTATTTGTCTAATTATATTTACCTCATATACTGTTTTTCCACACATTCTATTCATGACGTCAACAAAACTATCTTCATTAAAACATTGGGCCATACCTTTATACTGACAAATTATATTTGAATATTAATATTTGTAAGCTATAACTTAAAATTTTATTTAGTTACACTAAAAATATGCTTACTGTATTTCTTTCGTCGGATGGCAAATTATCCTCTATACAATTCCAAGTAATTCTTCTAATCCGTTCGGGAAGTCCTGAAAAATAGAAGTTTAGTGTACTTTACTTTTCTATATGCAAGCTGTGAGAATGTTTTATTCTCTCCAAAACGAACATAATTTAGAGTAGAGTATTCTCCTATAATTTACAATTTAAGGGTTTTCTGCTGGTAAAAATATTAACTGCAATATAAACTTATCTAACTTAAAACAACATTTTTGTGCATATACTAATTTATAAAATATCCAAACAATAAACTTATTCTTAAAATAATTATCGCATATAAAAAATATTGGCTACGTGTTCCATTATGGCTGATTGTGTGGGATAGAATAGAACATTGTACAAATAATGGTAGGGACTATATGGAACAACTAAAAGCATCAAAAATTAAGTAAAAATTTGTTATTAAAATTATAATTATTCAGTGAAGTTATGAAAATTCCCTTTAATCATCCGATTTTTGTATAAGGACTTCAGCATCAAATTTATAAGTAAGAATATTAGACTCGTTTCCCACTGTCGAGACATTTAGTTTTGTTTAATGCTGTTTAGTGGCGCCTGATTCTATACAAGGTATGCGTCTAAATACATGTTTAATTGTGTCAATTGTTTTTAATGGTGTATCGTCGTTTTTTAATGAAAATTTCAGTATTTTATCTTCAGGACTGACAGCAGACGACATGTTATAAGTCGCCTTCCCTCAATCTCTGACTGGAATAAAATATATTTAAAAAGACTTTTTTGCGTAGCCTTTATTACTTAAAATTTTAATAATCCGGGATTTGCGAGAATTTCATATGTTCTGTGAAGCTTTTTATAACTCTTTCAGTTTGCAGAAAACTTACGTTTTAATGAAAATGCCTACTTCGTTATAATCACAAAGAGGATCTCTAAGAAACTTCAGTAAAGGAAGGTTCGAAGGTAGAAAAATTATATGCCATAACGAAGCCATTGCGATAATTGAAAAGCGTTATAAAAATGGCCAAATTAAAAACGTTGCCATCGCAATAGAAACCATAGTCTCAAACACACCAAAAAAGCAATTGTTACGAGTCCTAGAAGAAAAATGGCTAAAACAGTTTTTAACTAAATGAAAAAGAATTGTCTGCGTAATGCTTTCACCTGTTGAGTTTCTAGAACTTATCATATTTTAATTTTTCTGAAGATGTTTACTGACAGTGTTCCATTTCGTCCCGTGCTGCGTATCTTCCCACTCTATCTTACATTTAAAATTTGATGATTAAATAGAAAATCTCTAATACTCACTACAATCGTCATCCAAATATCTGATCATTTTAAAGCTATTGCTGACACCTAAATTGTATGCGATCACTCCTAAAACAAGCAAAATGCAAACCTTCATTTTTCACTTCTTGCAAAGAAAGAAATAATTTTTTAAATAAATTAATAATAATTCTCGGTTATTAATATTCTATTCAGTAAGCGTGAAAAGGAAACAGTTATAAACACTGTTTCCTTTTCACGCTTAAAAAGGAAATTGTTGAAATTCGCGAAGAACAAAAAATTAAAAACTATTTTAATTTAACTAAAATAAATAAAACTAGAATTTTAAAAATATACGATAAACAACGTTACAGATTATTTATGAATTATTACTTTAATAGGAATAATTTTGTTATAAAATAAATTTCTAAATTAATTTCTATATATGATATTTATATTACACGTTGTTCGTACGGTACAGTACATTTATTATCTGATAAATAAATTTATTATTTGTTTTACTTTTTAAATATTTTTAGTCTATTATAATTAATAATAATTTGTTTAAAACATTAATAATAATTTATTAACGTTTTATACAATCTAATAAAATATAATTTCTATTTTCTCAATAATTATACAAGAAGGTCTAAAAGTTCGTTAACCGAAATACACACTATTCGACATAATGTACCTTAAAGCTTCTGTGCGATTGTAACTTTTGCACATGGAACATCATTAAAGTACAGTTTCATCACAAATGTTGCGTATTTGAAAGTTGTAAATCCATAACTGACATTGATTAATTAGTATTAATTACACGACAAGTTTGCCACTTAATGATTTGTGATTACGTCTCAACACGAGGATACATTAGTAAGGGCTGTCCCTTACTAATGTATCCTCGTGTTGAGACGTAACAATTTGTTTTTATCACTACGTGCAAAATTTTATAACCATTGCATGCAGGCTTTAAGATGCGGCAATATTTTGCAGTATTTTTTGAGATTATTTTAACGAGTAACGATATGCAGATGTTCCAAATCGGTCTTATTGTTTTTAAAATAATCTTAAAATATATCTCCATTAACTGACTTTTGAACTACCTCTTATATAATGAGATTAAATACGGTTATTAAAGCATCTTTTTTACATATTTATTTGATTATAGTATACATAATTTAGTTCGGATATAAGGGCATATTTGTCTTATCCCGTACATTTTTTAATGTTATATAAGAAAAGATTAAACACTGATATAAATGTGTTGATGTGAAGCTTCCTTACAAACAATCAGTTGAAAAGCCTCATTTCCGCAAAGGCTAATCAACTCGTATAATCGAAAATATCCGTAAAAATGTCTTTTACTTTATAGTTTTATTCCGGACTCTAATTTTAAGTAGGTACAGACTACCTTGATTTTACTAATTTATGAGTAATTTATGACATTGCGAATAAAATCCATCGCAAATGAGATCAACAGTTCATATTGGTTAGAAATAAAAACAAAATGATAAATACGTATGACTTAATCCAAAATACAGTTTACCGACATATATTTTACGAGTACGTTATTAAAATCGACGGTTCTAATCCGATTCTAACCATTTATAAAACACTATTTCGGTTAACTGACTTTTGGGCCGCCCATNAAAGTGTAGAGATAAATGAAAAAAGCAGGAGTTAGATTGGAACGAGCCGAGATGTTAACCTAACGAATCGTAACGTGTAATTATAAAGGAGTTGACGGAGGTGGGACGAACGATTTCCCACGTGGTCTAGTGGCTAGGATACCTGGCTTTCACCCACGAGGCCCGGGTTCGATTCCCGGCGTGGGAAATTTTTCTGCGCTTTTAAGTCGTCTACTTTACGAGGTCCGTTTCTTTTCTTTTTCGAAGCAATCCTACCGATCTACGTTCGAAACTTCAAGTCTCCTGAAAATTTTTACTGGTGGATTTGAATGTTTGAGTGGGAGTACAAAATAATAATCGGCAGCGCCAAGATGCATCGATGGGCGATATAAAAAAACGAACAGTAGCGAGTTCCCACGCCGGGAATCGAACCCGGGCCACCTGGGTGAGAGCCAGGTATCCTCACCACTAGACTACATGGGAGCACACGTAAGAATAAACAACAATCTCTTTCCGCTTCGCGTAAAATTCAGCTGTTAGTAATGCCACGAGATTTCGGAAAGCTCGAGGATTTGCGATTGTGCACGTTCACTTTTTTTTTCTGCGGCTGCACGTGAACAAACTATTTGAAACGAATGGAGTCTTTTGCAAGTAATTAAGAACTCTATGAATTCGCGACGGCCGAAACGTTCATTCACGAAAAAACATCGAAAGTGAAGCGCGAATTAAACTGAACAGATAGGGTGCGAGAGTAAACACAGCAAACAAAACAAACGAGGCGAGTCGTAAGAATTTCGTTTACACTGCAACTGTTGTCACGAGTTGCAGTTTCGCACATTTACCAGTTGATAGCGTATTAGAAATTCCATACATACTGCAATTCGCACGTTGATGTTATCCCTTTTGTCTACTGAGAAGTGTAAGCTTCTCGAAATTTAAGTATATACCAGCATAGACGATGTAATTTTATATGAAAAGTATGATGTACAAATTGAAGACACTGCTAGTCTGAGCTTCAGAACATATGTTTTAAATTAATTTAAAATACTATTGTTTCTCAAATAAAAACAATAATTAAATTAACATTTTGTCCATTTGTACAAAAACAATTAAAAAACGATTATTTTTACTTGCAGCAAAGTCGAACGAAACAAATTTCTTAGTAAGCACATTAAAGTCAATTTTAAAACTAAGCAAACTTCGAAAACTGAAGAAATCCATACAACAGAAAAGCGTTTTATTTCTCAAGAGTGTAGAGTGACATTTACACACAAGCCAGGTTTAAATAAACAGGTTCGGATCCACACAGGAATGAAGCACTACAATTGTCATTAGTATGAGATAACATTTACAACTAACTCGAACTTCAACAGACATATGTGGATTCGAATGTGTCTGTATAAGTTAGACTTAGTTGGCAATGTTCAGATGCACACGGGAATAAAACCATATATATATATACACACACACACACAAACACAACAAACCAAAATCGTATACACCACTAACCAAGGTTATTGATATGTGCATATCATTTCGTCAACTCTAATATACATTTGTCAAAAGCATCATCGGTGTGTTTCAGCATTGGTCAACTTCTCTTCTTATCATCAAGGAATCTCATCTTCGAAACAGCACAGTGACAGTCCGTTTCACATTATTCATCATTCTACAGAGCAAAAGTTATTTGATATGCATCCCTGTTTGAATATTTTTTGTTGTTGCTGCGTTTGAGTCGCTATTGGCGGCCGGTCTACTCTAGTTCTTTGGAAATCTTTTTAACTAGTACGCTCTTCAAAATAATGTCAGATAATAAAAAAATGCTAATGTGGATGTAATAGAAAATTACTTTTATTACATAATTCGAACACATAGCGATTAACAATTTTAATAACAATTACGAATATAAGTGACAGCGTGGTAAGTAATCAGTTCATTGATTAATTAATTATTTATTTGTTTATTCGTTGTCACGTTTATAGCTGGAAAAATATATTCCACAATATTATTGCCTACGATCTGGAAATATTTCGCGATTTTTTAATTTCAACACTCCACTTACCTATCTACACGGTAGAGAAACGGAAATGAGATGCTCCGAAAATGCAAACAAGTGTGACGTTCCAGTCGAAAATATACCTATTGTCATCAGAAACACAGGAGCAATAATTTTTTCTAAATATTTTCAATTTTAATCGGTTTTGCTTATTTTATTCAAAACAATCGACGCTGGCGGTTTATCTTGCATTTTATTCGAAAAACGCACTGATCGCAAAGTTTTCGTATGTTCTTCAGGTGTGTTACCTCAAAATACGGGTCAGTTTTTTATAGAAAAATCATTTCAAAAGTCGAACTTATGTTGCATAAAAAAGGCGTCATT